AAAAAAAAAAAAAAAAATTGAGGGGGAAAAGGTGACTGGGAGTTGAAGTGAATATAGATAAAAGAGGCAGTTCTTAAAATGTTTGGTTGTGAAAGGAGGCAGAGAGAAGAAGACAAGAGTTGTTGTTTCATGGTTTCTATTACCTTTTTGGAGTTTGACTCAAAAGTTTTACCTGTCAGTGAAGGAGGAATGATAGGTTTAGGGAGAGTGGAAAGGGGTGTGAGGTAGTCGTGTTTGGAAAATTGGAGTACACTGATTACAGAAAGGTACGTTGCCAGCTTACCTTGAGGAAGTGTCCCCTTGAGGAAGTGATCATGAGTCTGCACAGTTAGGTGACTTTCTTCCAGCAAAGCTCAGCTATGGGAGTGTAGACATGAGACAAGATCATTATAGTCAGCCAGGCCTAGGTTTTTACTTTCAGTCAGGTGTGATGAAAGGAAAGGGAGTCAAGGCAGGGATTAATGATCATGAATGTGAACTCAGGTGTAAAAAGGAGCTAGTTAAGCCAGGAGGTGCTGAAAACAGAGAACGGGAGGCTGAGGATCATACACTTGTGGTCAAATTGCTGTGCTAATGCTTGAGCGCATGAGTCAGAGGAATAGGAGTAGAAGCTTTGGAGTGTTGGTTTCTTTTTTTTTTTTTTCCACTTCCGGCCACTGCATCCTCCACCTGCTGGGCTCTGGCGATCCTTCCGCCTCAGCCTTCTGAGTAGCCGGAATTACAGGCATGCGCTACCATGCCCGGCTGTTTTTTTTATTTATTGTAGAGATGAGGTCTCACCAAGTTGCCCAGGCGGGTCTCAAACCCGCGGACTCGGACAATCCACTCACCTCAGCCTCCCAAAGCAGGGGATTACAGGCTGAGCCACCGAGCCCGCCTGAGTGTTGGTTTCTTAAGGGGCTGGTGTGTTCTTTGGTGATGAGAGAATCTGGCAATTGTCCCACTGAGGTTGGCGATTGAGCAGGAATAGAGGGTCACTTCACTGGAGAGAGGTCAAGGACAACTCATGAATTGCCTAGTATGAAAGCAGGAGAAGGCATGAAGAAAATGAGGCAAGTTCTAAAGTCCGGGAGTCCCCAGGGCTTAATGTGTGATGATGTGAGCCTCAGATGAGCCAGGTTTTCATTAAAACACGGGGGAAAGGAATAGTCTAGGATGACCCTATTCACTCTAGTCATGCTAGTGACCACATGTGACTATTTAAATTAATCATATCAACCTACAATGAATGACAGACTGACTCTCCAAAGCCAAGAGTTTACTTGGGAATAGCAGGGGATTGCAATCCAGGGTATGTGTACAGCAAACCACAGGCACGTCCAAGGGGCTGGGGCAGAGGGGAAACTTTCAAAGACAAAAAGAAGGCTGGACATGGTGACTCAGCCTGTAATCGCAGCACTTTGGGAGGCCAAGGCAAGTGGATTGCCTGAGCCTGCGGGTTTGAGACCAACCCCGGCAACTTGGTGAGACCTCATCTCTGCAATAAATTATAAAACTAGCCAGACGTGGTGGTGTGCGTCTGTAGTTCCACCTACTTGGAAGGCTGAGGCAGAAGAATCGCCTAAGTCTAGCAGGTAAAGCTGTGGTGGTCATGAGCATGCCACTGCCTTTCAGCCTGGGTGACAAGAGTGAGATTCCAACTCAAAAAAAAAAAAAAAAAAGTCAAAAAGAAGTCTACTAAACTGTTGTGAAGCGGAGACCATTGGTTATGGGGGCTTGATACAGGAATTAGTGTCAGCTCATTGGTGGAGACGGCTGTTAGAGAAGTATCCTTGCGACTGGGAGTGGTGGCTCATGCCTGTAATTCTAGCACTTTGGAAGGCTGAGGTGGGAGGATTGTTTGCGGCTAGAAGTTCTAGACCAGCCTGGGCAACACAGTGAGACTCTGTCTCTACAAAAAACAAAACAAAAAAACAAATTAGTTAGGCGTGGTGGTGCGTGCCTGTAGTCCCAGCTATTTAGGAGACTGAGGTGGGTGGATCGCCTGAGCCCAGGAGGTCAAGGCTGCAGTGAGCCATGATTGTGTCACTGCACTCCAGCCTGGGCGACAAAGTGAGACCCTTGACTCAAAAAATTAGCTGGATGTGGTGGCATATACCTGTAATCCCAGCTACTTAGGAGGCTAAAGCAGGAGGATTCCGTGAGCCCAGGAGTTTGGGGCTACAGTGAGCTGTAATTACACCACTGCACTCTAGCCTGGGCAACAGAGCAAGACTCAGTCTCAAGAGAAAAAAAAAGTGTCCTTGTGTTAAGTGGCTTATCTGAAATACTGGAATTTTGTGGATTTCCCTCCATTGTTTCTGTGATAGGTATATGTATGTAAGGGCCTCTTCTTCATGGCCTCTCAGCTGTTTTTTAAAATTTATTAAAAAAAATTTTTTTGTAGAGATGAGGGTCTCATTGTGTTGCCCAGACTGGTCTGAGCTCCTGGCTCCAAGTGATTCTCCCACCTTGGCTTCCCAAAAGTACTGTGATTACAGGCATAAGCCACTGTGCCTGCCCTGACTCCATTTTGTTGGACTTTGACATTAGTGACTCCATTTTGATACTGATAACTTTTACTGTTTAAATTAAATTATATTTGAAAATTGGTTCTTCAAGCTTACTAGTTGCATTTCAGGCATTTAGCAGCAACATGTGACTTGTGACTGCTGAGTTGGACAGTGCAGATAGAGAAGGTATCTGGTTTTGCAGAAAATTCTTTTGGACTGTGTTGATCTGAAGGGAACTAGAAGGGCAGCCCTGCTTCAGCTCCTTACCCTCAGCCGCTGTAGGAGGGGCTGTGAAGGAGGTGAAGAGTGGTAGGAGGCAGCCGGGGGATGTTCAGAGCTGAATACTAAATCTTGACTGAGATTCAGGAACATTCAGAAGTAACAGAAACCCAAAATAACAGTTCAGTTGAATCTTAAAACTGTAAACTAGGATTCTTGTATCTAAAATACAGATTGTAATGTGTGGTTTTCAAGGTACTGTGCAAATATGTCAATACTGTTTGAAAGCAGACTGTTTTTTATATGTGTGCAGTCTAAGTTGAAGTGCAGACCTTGCAATGCCTCAGTGTTTCTTGTTCCAATAGTACATTGGCGACTTCAGACGTCAGCAGGCGGAAGTGGCTGATTCCAGGTGCAGAGTATTCTATCTTTACTGGCCAGCCTTTGGACACCCAGGACTGTAAAGTGGATGACCAACTGGAGGAAACCTGTATCCCTGGGTAAATTACTTTGCCAAAGATTCTATTTGAGAAAGTTACACTTTCATAGGGATTTCAATTGCCTTTAAATGTTCAGGAACTCTTTGGTTCTTTACTGTCTTAATTTTGAGGACCTGACTTTTATTTAATTTTGAAAGATAATGCTTTTAGGATATTTTACTCTCGTGGGCACCGCAGAGCTTCCCTGCTATGCTCAGGTGGCACAGGGTGGGCTTGCAGTTAGGATCATATGTTGCTGTCTCACCCTCCTGATAGCCCAAGTCCCCGTAAGCAACTGCAGCCGTTTGCTCCAGGGTGCCATACAAATAGATTATTTCTATAAGTGCTAGGATGTTAGAAGAATTGGAAAGCACTGTAAGCAGTTTTGGTTTTAACTTACTTGCATGGTAAAGCATACATGTTCATTGTGGAGCACAATTGCCAACTCTCATATGATTCCTCTAACAATCCCAGCAAACTGTGTGTTTTAGCTCGGGCTGCTATAACAAATTACCATGAACTAGATAGCTTAAACAATAGACATTTATTTTTCCAGTTCTGGAGGCTGGAAGTACAACATCAAGGAGCAAGCAATTGGCTGCACTTTTGGTGACGGCCTTCTTCCCTGTTGTGTCCTCACATGGCCTTTTCTTGGAGTGTGTGCACAGAGAGAACTCTCCTTGTCTCTTCTTCTTTTTTTTTTTTTTTTTTTTTT